GAGCCACCTAAGCAGTGCTGTGTACTTCTATTCACCTGAATTACTTGTTTTAGCTAAGTTTATGGATGAGGTAAGTTTATGAACCCTTTATGGATGCAGATGTCTGAAGTCTGAGGTGGCTGCTAGCTTACATACTCATGTGACACCTTGAGAAGTAGGCTTCTGTGTCAAAACCAGACCAGGTATTTCTGCACTGTGTTCTCAAAAGAAGGTGTGGTGGGCAGCACAGTGCAAACGACTCAGCGATTTTCTGCTTAGATAGTCTAAATTCAGTTGCGTTTATTAGTTTCAGCACAGCTGGAACCAAGCTGATTCAATTCAGAGCATCTGTCTCTGCACCTACTTTTGTTTCTCTTTGTTAAAGGAGGGCTCACTAAGTTGAAGAGTTGCTCACAAATCTGGGGTTTCTGTGTAGCAACTGAAGTGCTGGGCAAAAGCCATTGTGCTAAGGACAAAACATATTTTTGACTGAAAGATTGTTAAGACAGCAGAGTCAAGTACTCAAAAGCTAGGAAGCACCATAAAATGGTAGTTACTCATGCAACATTAATTCACAATATCTTTTCTTTTGTATATTCATTAGGTTAGGGCCTAATTAAATAAGCACATACTATTAAGTCTGCAGGATGCCCAAAGCATTCAACACTATTCTCATTTCAGCAGAGTGAGTGGACAGCAACAAGCACATACACCACTGCCAATTAATATTAAATAGCGTTCTTTGTCTTAACACCTTGGCTTTCTGATTCTCCAGCAAATAATAAACATTAAGCATCCCCAATAACATATTCAAAAAGGACGTATTACAGGACTCTGGTCACAGCACAATGATAAAGGCTTCCATTTCAGGGAAGGCTTCCATTTAACAAAGATCTTATTTTCTCTCTCTCTAATTGGAGAGCTTTTTTATAAGATAATGCTCTGTCTGGCAGGTTTTGGGTGGTTTGTAACCATTTTTTGCAAAAGATAAAAGAAAACATAGTAGTTGCTGTTGCTCCAAGATGATCTTGCCTCCTTGAAGGCAAATTTTAAAAAGAGAAAAAGAGAAGAGGGTTTTAAAAGAAAACCAAGCATTAAAAAGCACCGAATCTATTCCTGAGGCTGGTTTTGATTTGCAGCCTGCCGTGAGACACAGAACATGTTTTTATTAGCTACTCCAAAACCTCAGAATATCGTCCTCATCACAATGCATTTTTAATGTCTGAAAAACAACTTCAGAGTATACAAAAAATGCAGTAAAGGAATAAAACACCTTTGCAAAGTTCAGAAAAGAACCTGGCTGAATGAAAAAGGCAGCGTGTTTTCCCAGTTTCCAGTGTCATGCTCAAGTCATGTAAGCATGTTCTATTGCAGAACACTCAGCTGCAGCCTTCACAACGCTATTACTGCATATTTAGTTCTTAATGTCTAACTGAATAAAAGTACTTTGGAGCTAGCTCAAGGTACACAGAAGATTGTGTTCAAGCAAAGCAAAGCAATTACATCAGCTGCTGTCGAGTTTGCCAATTGAAACTGAACTTAGAGACCGGGTAGTCAGCCAGTTTAAGACAGAACTGCCACTATTCTTGATAAGGATTATACTCTGAATCAACTTTATATACAGAGTGCCACTCTTCACGGAATCACGGAGCTGTTGGAATTGTCAGAGTTGGAAGGGACCTCTAGAGATCACCTAGTCCAACTCCCCTGCCAAAGCAGGATTGCCCAGAGCAAATTACTCAGGACTGCATCCAGGAGGGTCTTAAAAATCTCCAGAGAAGGGGAGTCCACAACCTCCCTGGGCAGCCTGTTCCAGGGCTCGACCCTTATTAGCATCAAAGAAACCCTTGCTGACCATTCTAGCATTAGCTAGTCATTCTAGTAACATAGGAATCGTGTTTTAGGTTGTAAACAAATCATTTGTGCTTCTGAACAGGTGGAGGGGTCAAAGGTTGATTTCCCTCCACTGCCCCTCTTTCATTTTTTATAGGCATCAAAAAGGAAAAAAAAATGCTCTTTTATGGAAAGGTAAGAACACTTTTTATTCTCTTACACTCTTGGAAAAAAGTGACAAAATACTTGCTGATTCTTCCCACTTCCCTCCTCACTTGTTCTTGCCCTGCCCCGGTCATTAATGTAGTACAGACACACTAGTTCAAGATGTCATGGAGAACCTGAAGTGTGTAACATTCAAACAACTGTTCCATGTGTTCCTTCTTGATGTTGTTTCACTGAATTACACAACCAACTCTGGAAATACAATACTCTTATCTAAACAAACCAGTAATTAACTACTTTAGTATACCAATGAGGCTAACATTTGAGACAATTTGTAACAATTTTACAAAACAATAAACATTCCTATTACATAAAGAGAAATGACTCTGAGATATTTAAGCACTCCACAGTAATATCACACCAACTCTAATTTGCATGAATATATTTTATAAAACAAAATTCTAAAGACTTTATTATAAGAACTTTGTCTCTACTTTTCTTTGAGCATATGTTTTGAAAACTGTCACAAGGCTGACCTCTGCTGGGTCATAAATTACCAAGCAGCTAGACTGATACACAAAACATTAAATGATTATCAAAAAGAAAAGGAAGGAATTTTTCTACAGGATCCCAAACGTTTTGCATAGATTTCAGCACCGAAAGGACATATTATTCTTCAGACAATCTCTTGCAAGTGAATATACTGCAAGTCATTATAACAAACAAGAAACTAACAATCTCACTTACTCATTTTCTCACAAGTATTTGAATACAAAATTAGCTACAGGGCTCAGAACTACTGCTTTTTATGAGATAAAATTTAAAAGCTAGCACTGCATATTGTCTTTGAAATCACATAGCAAATCTTAATCATGCACAGGGCCAGATCCTCACGTGAATATGCACTCAAGCTGAATAAGGAGCAAAAGAAAAATTTGCAAACATGTAAATGTATTATATTGTGCCTTTTATTCACCTTTGGAGTTTGTGTAGAAGCATGAAGGTCAGTCCATCCTCTCTTCAGCAGGAAAGCTCAGGATTCATTGCCAGAAGCTTCTCCCTTAGTCACCGTTAAAGTTTCAGAAAGCCTTGCAGTAATTTCAAACCACAATTGTAGAGAAAGTGTAAAAAATTCATATGAAGAATTAGCCATGGACAGCCTTAAATCAGTGCTAAGAGATATTTTAGACTGCTTTGGATGTTCAAGAGCTGTCTTTCCTAGGTATGAAGACGATTAGTTCAGCACCACGTAATCCCAGGTTAAAAAATGGACTGAGACATAAGTTTTATAGTAAATGTTTAGATCATTAAGCAGCAACGATTCTATTACTATAACTCATACCAGCCACAACATAACATTTCCATGCGTCTTATTGTCAATCCCAGGCAAAACAACCGCAGCACACCAGAGACATACCTCACCTTTCCTGACCAGAGTGCTGGGCAGAGCAGATCTGACTTTTGTTATCCCCAGAAGCAGCTGTGCCCTGACAACTCAAAAGCTGACCCCTCTTTGCCTATATTCACTGGGTTTTTGGCTGAAGAACAAAAGTAACAAATACTGTTCTCTTTAGTTGCCTCAAAAATCAAGAGAGGAATGACAAGTCTACTGTTTCACATCTGAATATCAAGTCCCTGAGTGAAGCTAATGACTATGAACAGATACATAACTCACATGCGAAAATCCATAGCATGCAAAGACTAAGGAGCCCTGAGATTTTGCCCAGTCTTCCACACATCACAAATTATTATGCTTCTCCTCTGCTTACTCTGCCCTGAGCTCAAAGACTTGAGTTTCATTAAGTACCCACCAGGGAGATCTTACTCTGAAGACCCCAGGAAAAGTTAAAATTCAACACATTCCCATCATTCAGTACCCTCAACATTAAAAAGCCATATCCAGCTCCACCTTCCATTCACTATTACTCCTTTCTCCATTCAAGTCTTTGCTGCTTACCAGTACAAGTACTTCTTCATGGGAATGTACTCCACAAGATAATCAAGTGACCTCCTGTTCTTGTTTCTCATATATAGGAAAGACTGGAGTAATGCAAACTCTCAGTTAAGGTAATAATTCCAAATACTCACCTTGCATCATCTACAGTTTTACAAAAGCTGCAAAACCCTGCAATGTTTCAGTGTCAGTCAGTCAGCACTGAGTGTAGAGGTCACACGAGATGAGTCAGCTGATTTTATGTAACAACCTCCAATATAGACCTTCAAGAACCACATTAGCCCTTTGCCTCAGCATAATGTTGGGAAACCTTGTTCACCACGGGAGAAATCTTTTGCAGAGTTCTAGTTTTCCAGAACACAATCTTTCCTCCTCTTTTTTTAATTTTTTACATAACCTACATATCTTGTTCTCAGACATATAATTTCAACCTGCACTGTTCCATATTAACGCCTCTACTATTACTGAATGTTCTGAAAATATTAATGAGATTAACTAATGATGCTAACAGTGATTTTTGTATTTATTTTCACATCCTCAAGGAAAACACTGTCTGATAGGAAAATCTAGTACCAAATTCCCGCAGAAACCCATAAAGAGTATCTCTATCATGACTCCTTTATGTCTACATTCAGGAAGTTCTTAATCACTTAAACACAGATATTATCCAGGAATAATTTCATCTTAATACTTTTACTACTAAATGAAACGCCATAAAAAGCCTATTGTATCCACAATTTTCAACTATATCTGTGGCTACATCAGTACTTCCAATGAATCCATAAAAAACTAATAAGAGCTAGTCTAGTGTCAGTTTTCCTAAGTCTGCTATATAGATATCTCACATTCATCAAAAAATTTTCAGCAGTCAAAAACTGACACACATTATAAAATAAACTTGCAATCCCGATTCCTAACAAAGCCAATTTTGCCATGCAAGACAGTATCCTCACTATAAAGAATTAAAACAATGCATTGACTAAGCTTTAGCTCTATTATTGTGCTTAGGTTTTCCTACTAAAATTCACCCTTGAAGACCTAGTACAAAAGGTAGCAAGCGGCCTCAGACTACTTTTAATATTAATTTTAATACTGTCTTATTATTTGAAAAGTGTATCATTTTGTATCAATTTTGCTTAAGAAAAATATTATTGATACAAAGTCTAAGTATAATTGATAAGTGAAAACAGATAACAGATACTATTCAAAATCACATTGCCCAACAAATACTCCAATCTATTATACCAACATCCTGTTGATGTACATCTTAAAGCTTATTGGCTGGTTAGGAGGTTAGCAAAGTGAAAATACTGTCAATGTTGCATTACAGGGTAGTCACCATGTTGCTTACTAAAATGTCAGACAAATCTGTTGAGATGTCAGCTGCCTTCTCTCCTGCATAGACTACCCTGACATTCAATAAGGTATGAAATGCTGCTCTTAAAATCGCTAATGGATGACATGAAATCACCACGCTGAGTAAACATCGGAAAATGGTAATGCTTTAATAGCTCAAAGGTGCTGTCAGAATCAAGTATGTTATATGCCCAGTCAAGTTATAGGTATAGTAGATTTCGTAATGCAAAACAAATTAAATTATTAAAGGCACATATGCTTCAATGTCACTTGAATATTTGAATTTCATTTCCAGAGGAAATACAAGGTTTCAGATTTTTCTAATAAACTATGTTCTAGTGTCAAGCATCCAATTTTATATGACAATACTTAGTAAGAGTATATGGGAAAAGGCTTAAAAGACTGGGTTGCTTAAAAGAATTGGTCAGCACTACAGAAGTTAATGGAATTTCGAAAGGACTTGACTCAAGCTGTAATGCATTCTATGCATCAGAAAATTAAGAAAGAATTTTTTAGTTTTCCAAAATAAATCTTACATACCGAGAGCACTAAAGTGTGCAACAGAAAAACAAAATCCAGTGCTTCGTACTTATTCAAGCATTTACAGCAAATTAATTCCTCAAGCTATATGTGAAAAACAGCCCAGTTTACACAAGAGACTCATTTTCAAGTGAAAAAGAGAGCTGTTCTAGTTACAACAATACATTACACACAAATACATTTAGACCTTGAAATGATGGTCAAATCAAGCTACAGCAAGTGTACAGTATCCCCAATGTAGATTAATCCCCTTGAGTTTGTTTTTTTGGTGTGTTTTTTTGTTGTTGGGTTTTTTTGTTTGTTTTTTTTTTAATAACTGACCTTTACAAAAAATAATTATTTACAAAAATACTGACAATGGCTCACATTTCTATGACCTCAATGTTTTCCTTTTCTTTTGACCTTTTCTACCATTTCAGCAGTATCTCCAGTAGTTTTTTTGAGTAACTACATGCTGCTCAGGCTCCTCTTGCATAAGATCCGTTGACGATACGCTCTGACTCAGTTCACTGATATTCTTCAAACCATTTACATCCTAAAGCTTCTGGTTCTGTGAAATGGTTGAAAAGGCTTTTTTAAGGCCCACATCAGTACAGGTGGCTTCTGTTTGTTTTTTTCCGGAAATAGTACCGCTTCAGTTTCAGGGGTAGGAAATCGTACTTTATACACTTCAGGGTAAGATTTCTGAAACTAGAAAAATACATTAATTTAAATTAAGAATTCGCTCAAACTTTTAATATAAAAGAATATTAAAGTGCAACCTCTGCCTCTGGCAGCAGAAAAATTATTATTTCTCTAATGGACTTTCTATACCTCTGTATAGAATATTAGGTGATATTTTCTAATATGCCTTGATTCATCACAGTACCCCTATTCTAGATGATTAAAAAGTTCAAAATCCCCAAGAGTATCTACTATTTTAAACATCAGTATTTCTCTAGAAGACTACATGTCTAAGACTTCATAAAGCTGCTTAAGTTAAAATTGAAGACTGTGAAGGAATTTTTATTTACTTGCTTGAGCTTCTTCTTTTTATCTTTCACAGATATTTCTTTATTTGTTGCAATTTCTTCCAATAAAGCTGCCAGTGGCTCTTGAGAGCCAGTTGCCCTTTGGTATTCAAATTCATCTGTACTGATTTGGTGACAAAATGATGGAGGAGGAAAAGTTGCATCAGTATCAGCTCCAGCATATTTTATCTGAAGAAAGAGTAAAAAAAGACCAGCTATATTTTCTGCAATAAATTTGCAAAACCTGGCTAAATCAAATTGACCACCTGAAGTCATTAAGTAGAGAGGACTTAAAGATCGAATAAAGACCCTAAATTGTACCTCCTATCCCCTGGACTAATTGAGCGTATTCTAGTAAGTCAAGAAACATGACACAAAGGGAGTCTGTTAAACTCTTGGAATAAGTTAAAAGTTACTTTTTTCAGTAGAAATTAAAGAACGAAGAACTAAAAAGCATCTTTGAAGAAAACAAAATATGGCATCAGGAAAAAGAAAAAGAGTTATGAAAAAGCTGAGCAAGTAAGGGCGGCTCTGAAAGAAAATCAGAACATTAATGGAAACGCTTTTTAACCACCCACAATTTTCCTCACTACTATAAACATAATTTGCCATTCCATGGAGAAGATAGTGCTGACTAACAGGAAAAACATATTTTAGAGTTCTTATCTCAAAACCATTCAAGATTTGCTTAATTTCCTTTTAATACATAGTTATGGCTGAATATCAGCAGCCAAAAGTAATTAGTTCTTCATAAGCTAGCAGAGACAGAATAAAGTCTTTAAGAACTGTCAGACTTTGGAGAAGAAAGGATAAATTTGACCTAGAAGCACAGAGACATTAGACGCTTTTTTCACTAGTTACCTACTTGGACTCTCTGGAGATGTACAACATGTTCCTCTATAGAAGATTTTAAGTTGGAAGGAGCACTTAAGATCTCTTGATGGTTGTCCATGAGAAAAGATACTAGTTTAGCAGCAAGCAGTTCGTCCAAGTCCATTTCATCCTTCGAGCAGAGAATACAACGGGAGAATGCCTGAACCATCTAAGAAAAAAAATTATTATTGTACATTTTTCTCTTTGAGGGTGAGGCGTGAGGAATCAGACTGTATTTAAAAAAATGATCTTTTCAAGAAAAGATTTTAAACAGCACAATACTTACCATACTTACAACACTATAATGTAATAATAATAATTTTTTTTAAAAGGTATTATATACAGTGACAGTATCTGAGTGGACTGAGGATGGCTCTTGCCTCACATACATAATCTGACTTTAGACTTAAAATGGCTGAATTCCATTTTATTCTCAAGACTTAATCAGATAGTGACTTCACATAGCTTTTCCAGTCAATCAGGGCACAAATATTTCAGAGATATTAAAAATAACACAGGAATCTAATAGAAGTTAAGCACCAGAGGGAAAACTTAATACAATTGCTTTGAAATCATCAAACCAAATTTTGGGTCCAGCTGACTTCATGTAGTTTCATATTCAAGCATTATTAGAGGAGTTTTTTGTCTGTGGACCAGTCACTTCCAACTTTAAAAAAACAGAAGGCAATCAAGGTTTTCTGTAAGGTACTATACACCACACTGCTGAATTAGAACTTAGTGCAAAATATTTGGACTGTAAAGGATTCACTTCTAAAAATAACATTTAGTTTACAACATAATTATTTTAATCAAAGACTATTTACAGTTAATTAAATTATAACCTCAGCAGTCAAAATTTTAATCAAATGCTATTCATAGTTAATTAAAAACTTAATTGCTATGGAACAAATTTAGATTTCTGTATGCAGAGTGGCCCTGCAGCTAAGCCTTCTGTTTCCCTTCTTGCAGAAGACTTGAAAATTAACCAAATAAATACACGTCCTTAGCCAGTTGGAATTGCTGAGTTACACCTAATAACTTTGCAATAACATGCTGTTGCAAATATCATTGATGACTTTACAAGTAGTCCTACAGCAAGAGTATCAGCAAAAACTAGGGCTTTATAAAAATCTAATTAAAATTACTGAGAGGTTTCTGTAGTTAAATGATAACAACAACAAAAAAAATAGTACTGAATCAAAATGATAGGATTTTTTTTTAAATGGCTCAAAACAGGTAAATTGAAACATCCAACTACATATTTCTAACTAACCGGAACTGGCAGTTTATTTCTCTCACACTGTCTACAGTGATAAAGAACACCAGAAGCCTCATCTACTGCATTTTATTTCTTTTTCTACTCAATAGTGAAATCAGTGGTGATTTAACTATGAAAGATATGGAAACCTCCAAATTCTGAGCAAATTCTTTATTTGCTCACAGCTTAACAAGAAATCCCAATTCATTCGGAGTAGCTTTCCACATAAGTAGTATAGAAAAACTGTTCTTCAAACAAGCAAACTATACTTTGTATACACTCTCCAGCAAGAACCTTTTATCTGTGCTACTCCAAAAGCACAGTCTAGACCTGTTGCCTTATATTATACGTACCAAGGTTCTGGTCCTCACTGATTCAGAAAGAGGTGGCAAATCCTTGTTAAAGCTAATTCTTGCCATCATCCTCACCAATAGCTGTAGTCTTTTCCGATTTTCTGGTGGCAGCAGGAGACAAGATATCTGAAGAGCTTCTACGGCCTTGCTGTGTTTTTGCAGCAGACCTGGTTTATACGAGACCATGAGATTGGGCAACATTTCTCAATTATACATTTCCATAACATTTAACACAACATTTCTAAATGTGTCTCCCCAGATTCCTTTCCTACTCATTCAAAACTGCATTAGAACTCCACTCCCCAAAGAGACTAGGAAGATATGCCTAGAGCCAGACTACTAGAATTAGGCATCTTTAAGTATTTACAAGATTTCCTTTGGATGCTTTGGGACATATTAATAACCACAACCAACAACTCTAGATATTAGTAGACATGAAAAACTATGTTTTGGTTCATCCTTTGCTCTTTTATAACTCTCAGCTCTAAACACAACTGAGACATAGGCACAGATGTAGCAACCACATAAAAAAGTTGTCTGGGGCAACAGTCAGAGAATCTAAACAAAACATGTGCCCATGCATCAGAGACAGCTGTGACAAGCCTGATCTGTCCCTCACACCTCTAGAAGTTAAATCTATGACTAATTCTACTTACAAACTAAGAATGCGAGCAAACACATACAAAACACAGAATGCGAGCATGGCAGAGCTACATGAAGACTGGACAGGCACAGTAGAATCTGACAGTAGTTTAGATACCTATAAAGAGGTCTCATGATCAAATTGTTATCCTCTTTTGGGTTTCTATGGATCAGTGAAGAAAGCATGTACTACACATTTGCCTAAATAGCACTATTACCAGAACAAAACAGAAATCAGGAGCAAAATGTCTGTACAGCTGAAGTCTGACAGTAATTTCTCTTAAAAAAGGAACAAGGAAGGTGACAAAAGACACACTTTTTTTTCTATGGTATTATACATGTTGGAAGCGATATCTGGAGATTTATCTAGACCTCTCCCCCTGGTCAAAGCAGGGTCATCTACAGTAAAATGCCCAGAACTATGTTCAGCCAGGTTTTGAATATCTCCAAAGAGGGGGATTCCACAGCCTCTCTGGACAGCCTCTTCCACTGTTCACCTGACCACTTTCCAAATAAAAAAAGCTGGTTTCCTGCATATAAATGAAGTTTCCTGTATTTCTGTTCGTGCTTATTGCCTCTTGTCTTGCTATTGGATATCACTGATAGGAGTCAGGCTCCCTTTTCTTCACTCCTCCCACATGCCAGTCAATTCCACACTCTGTAATAAGTGGAACCTGTTTGTTATTTAAAAAAAAAAATTAAAATAGCAGAAGTGTAAGTAGTGCAGCCAAAACAGAGAGTATTCCAAGAAAAGAGTGGTAACTGAAGCCAAACGCAGCTTTTTAGCCATTCAAACACCTCTTATGTGTCTGGAAGAAGTTGATTCGGCACAATTTCTAGAGAAACGTGACATTTTCTGGGTGGTACTGCTTTGGCAGGGGAGTTGGACTAGATGATCTCTATGGTTCCTTCCAACTCTAAAAATTTAATGAAATTCAGTGAAAATTCAGTGAAATTTTCGAACATATACTTCCAGTAGTTTAAAGTAAATTGTGTAAATGTGAAGATGGAACATAAATTAAGCAGGTTGCCCAGAAAAGTTGTGGATGCCCCATTCCTGGAAGTGTTCAAGGCCAGGCTGGATGGGACTTTGAGCAACCTGCTCTAGTGGGATGTCCCTGCCCATGGCAGGAGGGTTGGAACTCGATGATGTTTAGGTCCCTTCCAATGCAAACCATTCTATGATGCTATGCTCCTATTTTTTTTGGTTTAAATCTATTTTCATTAGTAAGGAAGGATTCCATAATAACCTCATTTGTTTGGAAAGAGACCACAAAATTATTTTTTCACTTTTTGAAACAGTGCATGATTTCCTTCCGTTTCTACATAAACATTGGCATGAATTCTTTCTTCTCATTATGGGTGAAATACTACAAAATAAAACTCTTAAAACCTGAAAGATATGAAATACAATGGAAAAGCAAACAGAAAGACAGTATGAAAGGAGAGGAAGAATTTTTAAAGATACTATCGAGAATATTGTTGTCTGAGAATAAGAAGTTTGAAAAGGAGCTATATTCAGTTTGAAGCAAGATTGTCAACAAAATATAAAAAACCCACTAAATTCCAGAAATAAAAGTGTTATTCTTATTTCCTTCTTCATCTCAACAGTTTATTAAAAACAATGCTGCTTCCACTTATAGAAGCTCAGAAAAGTGACATGCTACAAAGCATACTTACTTTTCAAGTCAGTTCTTTTCTGAAACGTAACCATAAAATGTAATCAAATATTTTCACATTTACTGTCTTTCAAAAGGCCATCTATAGCTACAGGATAGGTGAATTTGATACAGTGTGAATCCTTCAAAAGTCATAGTTAATAACTAAACTATTGGTTTTTTTAAAGCACTAGATGATGGTCAATGTCTATTCTAAGTGTAAGCAATGAAGGATTTCAATTTCCTTCAGATGTAATATTGCCACAGTTAAAAACAGACCTTACAGCCCTAATCCTTTTTAATCTAGACTTCAGTCAAGTAATATCTAAAAAGCTTATGTGACTTTTTACGATTTATTTGTAAAATAATAAAAAAATCTCTTAAAAAACATCTGTTAAATGTGGCAGTGCTAAGCAAAAAGCAGAGACCTTTCAAAATTATGAAGACAAGCTATGAGATCAAAAAGACACAAGAACAAAACCACCTTGTGATGTGGAATAAATTTAAATATTAAACTGTTCTCCAAGTAAAATGGACAGGGCAGGTCCTAAAGAAATGAGTTGTGATACTACTTGGGTATGGTAAATTAATTTCAGGAAGTTAATTAAAAAAAAAAATTTCTTCATCACATCCCAAGCTACTTACCTAACACACTAACAAAAATATCAAAAAAATGAAATGTGAGAAGTGGTTCTTTCATCTGGCCAAAGTAGTCCACTATAGTTTTGAAGACATCTCTTTCAAATCCTGAGTACGTAGGCTGTTTCAAATCTGAGCAGCTAGGCCCTACAAAGAAGGAAAAAGGAAATAAATAAAATTAAAAAAACAGGAGAGAGAAAAATAATTTGCAGTCACCAACCAGATCACTATTTTCTACTCCAGCCAATAAAAATGCAATACCAAATAGAAAAAAAAAAAAACAAACAAACCACAAAACTTAGACTCATTCTTCAAAATATAAGTGAAATTGTATTGATCTATTTCCAATAGGTCTAGTGAAAACACATAGTAGAGGAAAAAAATTAATTGAATAGTTAAATCTTCATATTTCATTGAAATAAGGTGCACTGGCAGGAGAATATATGTTGGCTGATGTTTTCCAACTTTGTTCAAGGCAGAAAAAAATATTGACTACAAACATAAGCAGAATTTGATAAAGCTGTAAAGGCCCAGTTAGTTCACTTGATTTTTACAGGGTGGGTTGGTTAGGTTTTTTCCCCCCTCCTGAATTTACTTACAATTTGCTAGACATTTCATTGCTGATAATATCCAGTGAGGTAGTTCCTCTGCACAGGAGAAAAACAGACAGAAATTAAAAGGAGAAAAAAAATGAGAGAAATGTTAAACTATAAAATAAAAAGCCAAGCTAATAATTCTTTAAGAATTTTCTGCTATACAGTACACTGACTAATTGCAAAGGCAGGCTGTATCTTAATGTAGGATCTAGCCTGAATTACATCTATGCTTTAGTACCTCCAGTACTCAATATCAATCAGTTCATGTCCACTGCTCTTACAACTCAACCAGCAAAATGGATCATACGGCAAATCCTTAACCTGCCTTGCAAAAATCAGCCAAACTAGTTCAAGCTACACCTTCACTAGTGCATTACAGTGAAGTGGTTACTTTGCACTGAAGACGTTCAAAAGCACTTATACATTCAGCTCTATCATTTCTGCAAGGAGGAAGTTAGTATCTTCAGGTGCTCTAATTGCCTTTAAAATGAACATGTGTATTCTCTGGGGGAGGTTTAATTCACAAACCAAGCCAGGTTCCAACCTCATATCTCACTTCTCTACAAATCTTGTAGAAAACACGATGTAGAAAAAGTGATATATCAGAGAAGCAAAAATACTTTATTTTCTTCCTGATGTGCAAAGCAGTTTTAAACTTGCACTAGTTTCAAAACAGACTGATTGAAAACTAAAAACTGAGAAATTTTAAGCATCTCTCAGTGTACATTTTGATTCTTTCCCAATTTGTAATACACATTTCCCTCACATAAACACTGCAGTTCAGGCATTTAAGTGCTGGGCTGACTAAGCCAGCTTGAAGTGAGTAATATTACTGTTTTTATAAATGAAGAGTTGCTGTTCTTTTGCCTTCATCTTTCATCCCTTCTAAACCATGAATATGTTTAAAAGAGTAAATATGGAATACACGGTGATTCTTACTGTCATGATATCCTCTGATGGATGTCAGAGGACAGCAGTGACATACTTTGTAAAAACCCTAGCACAAATGTGGTCATGAAAGTGTAAAGGTGCTACATGTTAGTATAGATTAGAACAAGTACTTTTTTATATACTAGTAAATTACAATATAAAAAAGTTAAACACAAACTCCTAAAATACTCACTTGATTTGTCTTCTAAAGTGACAATGCCTTGCTTATTGACATTGTACACATTTTGGACTATATGCTTTGAATTCACAAGTTTTGTGTCTAATACTTCATCCAGAGAATCCAAACCCAAGACCTTTTGTAATCTGTAAAAATACATAAACACATTGTTCATACATCATCTAATCTGAAAAAGGCAAACATGTAGCGTTAGGATAGATATGATTCTGTAAAAGAGACCTCTCCGTTTCACAGAATATCACAAGTTGGAAGGCACCCATAAGGATCTTGGAGTCCGACTCCGCAGTCCTCACAGGACTACCCAAAACTAAACTATATGAGTAAGAAGTTCACTCCTTGAACTGTACAGGCTTGGTGCTTCTCTGGGAAGCCTGTTCCAGTGACCAATGACCCTTTCGGTGAAGAATCTTTTCCTAATGCCCAATATGAACTTCCACTGATACAGCTTCATTCCATTTCCTTGTGTCCTATTGCTGATAACCAGAGAGACATCAGCACCTCCCCCTCCACTGCCCCACCTTGAGGCAGTTGTAGGCTGCAATGAGGCCACCCCTCAGTCTTCTCTTCTCCAAGCTGAAAAAACCAAGTGACCACAGCCACTCAAGAGTCTTCGATGCACATCCAGCTGGAACAGCAAGTCTCCATCAAGCTCAGGGTCAGCTGGGAGATAATCATCCCCTCAGTCTTCCAACACAGGGCTCCAGGGGTTCTGGGACCCATCATGGGTGTTGAAAACAAAGGCAAAGGAGGCATTAAATGTCTTTGCTTTGTCTATGTCCCTATTTGTGAGGTAACTGGCTTCATCAAGCCAAGGACCAATGTTATCTCTGATTCCCTTTTTGCTGTTAACATATTTTAAAAAGCTGACCAGCTTGAGTTCTAGCTGAGCTTTGGCTGCACAAATTTTCTCTCTATAGTGGGGAACAGTCTGTACTCCACCTGTGTTGCCTGCCCTTGCTTCCAATGTCTGAACACTTCTCTTTTCCACCTACGTTCTAGAAGATATCTGCTCAGCCAAGCTGCCCTTACACCCCGCTTACTTGACTTGAGACACTTTGGAATTTCCTGCTCCTGTGCTCTTAAGAAATAGCTCTTAAAAAGTGACCAGCAGTCATGGACTCCAATACCTTCAAAATCAGGTTCCCAAGGGACCTTAATAACTAGCTTCTTCAGCAGCCTGAAGTCTGCTTTCCCCATAACCAGGGTCACTGTTTTGCACCGTTTTTGTGGTCACTGTGACCAAGACAGCCACCAATCACCACTTCAGCCATGAGTACCCCTCTGTTTACAAGCAAAACTTCTAGCAGGCCACTTTTCCTTGTCAGCTCCTGCACCAAGAAGTAATCTTCAACATGCATCAGAATTTACTGGACCTGTTTGTGCCCAGTGTATGATAGTCCCACTTGACAGCTCGGAAGTTAAAATCACCTATAAGGACAAGAACTGTTGATCTAGAGCATCCCTTAATTCCTTGTAAAATAATTAAACGGCAACATCATTCTGGCTAGGTGAATCAATAGTAGACTCTCACAACAATATTGACTTTATTTGCTTTCCGCTTCATCCTTACCCAGAAGTTCTCAACCAGCTGTAAGTGCCATAAAATCCGACCCTTTCCCGACGTACAGTGCAATCCACCCCCCACCTCACCTGCCTGCCTATCCCTCCTGAAAAGCCTGAAACCTATAACGGTCCATCATGGCATCCCAATCACAGGACTCTTCCCACTAGCTTTTGCTTATGCCACTGTTGTATTTCTGGGACTGGGACAAAACTTCTAGCTCCTCTTCTTTATTCCTCATGCTGGACACATTAGTATAAAGACATTTCAAATGTGCTCCAGTGTACTCAGCACATTGTGGAACAGACTGAAAGACCATGCTAGCACATCATCCCTCAAACACTGGCATGCTTTCCCCAGGCCTAACACGAGCAAGCCTGGTTTTATCTCTTTCTCCCTTCAAATCTAATTTAAAGCTCTTTCAATGAGCCCTGCTAACTCCTACAAAAAGATCCTTTTCCCCCAACTGTCACCAGCAGGTCTGGTGTCTTGTGGACCAACCCATGATCAAAACCCCCGCAATTCTGCCAGTGACACCCATCTTGGAGCCAGGTATCGATCTGCTGGGTCTTTCTGTTTCTTCCCTCATCATTTTCCACAACTGGAAGGATATGGGAGAACACCATTTGTGCTTTCAATCCCTTAACCAGCCATCCCAAAGCCCTGAAGTGTCTCTTGATTGTCCTTGGACTTCTTATCACAAATTCATCACTGCCTACATGAAAAAAAAATCAGGTAGGAAGTTTCCTGTTCACATCTTTAACCCAGGCCTTAGGGAGGCAGCAGATTTAGTGGGTCTAATCTGCATATTGGGCTTCCTGTTGCCCTCAGAAGAGAATCTCCTATGACAATGACCTGTCTTTTTTCTTTATAGAAATGGTTTTGATGCAGGGCATAGGCTGACAAAGTTGTTGATACCTCCAACCTTAACGAACAATCATCCTCGTCATTGTTTGGTTCTACTTGCAGAGCATTGTACGTACTATGCAAGGGCACCAAGGAAAATGGGGTGGCCATGCAGGAGACGTACCTACTGTGCCAGGCAGGAACTTGTTATTGTTGCCCTCTATGCCTTATGTTGCTGCATTCAGCCAGCTGGAGACAAGGTAGGGAATCTTCCCTAGCATTTGTCCTGTCTGCCTGACATGCCTGTCCCAGGAAAGGCAGGGTGAAGTTCTAGTAATGTCTCTCTCAAAATCCCTGATACTCCTCAACCTACTCACCTCCTCCCAGAGCTCTGTGACTAAGCAGAGGACCTCCTCTACCTGGGCATACCTCCCACTGCTGCTGTCTGGTACTGCCAGGGCATACCCTGCAGCCTGACACCTGGGTGGCAGCGTGTTCCCACCAGAGCTCTGGCTGGGAAGCTGCATCAGCTGCAGTACAGAGTTTAGAGAAGACATGGCTTTCTGCCAGGTGGTTACTATTGCTCCCTGGTTCAGCTGGCAGAGCTTCAGCACCCTTCCTGTACACCCTTCTGCACAAACTGCCATGCCATGACCCATTTGCTGTGTTCCTGGTTGACAGCACTCCATAGGAGCTTCCTTTATATATGACAATGAGAGCCTGGCTGCAGTTGCTTCTGGCGTCATCCAGGTCTTCTCAGACACCATCGCACAAAATATGGGTTTCCATCAGAAGTCTCAACTTCCCAGACCTTTCTCCAGTTGAGGAATATCCCCTGCGCACTGTGCTAGAGTTCTCCGCTGAGGATCCTGCCAACACCACAGCTGCTTGCTTCAGCATCGAGTTTATTACATGGAAATAATATGCTAGGTTTACATGAAAGTAATCACTAGTAAGGCCTCAACTGTGCTGTGTAAAAAGAGCTAATATATATTATTTATTTTTTTCTCCTGCATGAATAGTCTAAAGCCATGCCTGTAAGTTTGCATAGGATATTCCTGTTGGAAATAGTAAAGAATGTCCAAATCTCAAAGCCTTTTGCACTCAATTAGCTACTCCATTTCATACCTCATACAAAGAATTGGACTTGTCATTGAAAGGTTTCATAGTACAGAAGTGCTTCTATCTCAGAGTAAAAAGAAAAAAGAGAACAACTAAGGAAAAATGATTAAACAAGACAAAGCCTACACAACAAAAGGACTTTTATAACACAACAGGAAAAAGTCAAAAGGTATCAAGCACAGTAAAGTTTCTTTGCAAACTTCATTTGCTGAATTCGTTAGCCAAACAACAACTGGTATAGTTAGTCTAACCACTATGGCTTTGATCGCAGTGATGAAAGGTGGGTGAGTGAAATTATAAGCATTACCAGAGAGGACTGGCAAGACCATTACCTACTACACAGTTTAATAGCAAACAACTCACAAGCATACTCACCGTGACAAAGTCATGGATTTCCATATCTCTTCTATGTTTGTTTGTGTTAGCTCTCTGCGGAACACGAGTTTGCATGCTGGTACTTCCCCTATAGCTATACTGTGTCGCTTGTACCACATCTCAGAGTTCTGAAATCAGAAAAAGCTCTCCTCATTAACTGCAGACTTTTCAAGTATCGAACAGTATACTACATTTCTAGTACGGCATGCTCCCTATTACAAGTATTTTAAATATCCCTAAATTCCAGTAAAGTCTCCAGGATGCAAAAGACTATTTAGCTTTCACAGACATGCAGCATCTCTTCCGAGTTATGTAAATTGTCCTAAGCTGAAAAATTATGTGTGTCAGAACAGCCATTAAAGTTCATGAGTCAGTGGCCTCTAGTCCTGTGTTCAGATCCTCTCTATAATTAAAATCAGTTCAACTCACTTGTTTTCAACTACCACTTTAAGATTAAACACCTGCTTATGGAAAAGTTGTCAGGGAATTATTAGAAGAGATATCAAAGACTGATACTCATCCTTGTTCAGCATATACTGATCATAACTAAACATTAAGTATAATAGCAGGTTCTATATATGAAGAAAGTAAAAGGAAATAGCTACAGCTGAAGACACCCATTATAATAATTAATCTAGTCCACCATTATAACAGAATAAAGTAAAGCAGTGAACGTAAGAGACTACTTTTACTCAAAGTTCACATCCAAGCTTGATGCTTGAAGACCATCAATATGTCGATGCGTGAACATACAACACAATTCTTGTCAGCAGCATACTTTTCAAGGCAAAACTCCTAAGCATTCCCAGTTCTTTGATTTACATTGCAGAGCAGTCCTGGAGCACATTAATAGTATTCTTGTGACCACAACCAAACCATAAAATGCACTCCAGGAATGCACTTAATTACTCCAAGCACTAATTGTCTGTCATTTCATGACACAAGAGTATAGCTAGTTTAAAATAAATAGCACCCAATGAAATATAGTATCTGATATTCCAAATAATTATTTCACTACACAGACTGAAAACCACCAGTCCACACTCAGCCAACAAGTGCTTCGATTGATGCTGGAGCAATTTAAGGTGCCACTACTTTCAGCTACCTGTCTACTTCACCATTTCAGTGGAAGCCACATCTTTCTATAAAAGAGCCAATAGAAAGAAGCTTATTCCTTTGCCTCAGTTAATTCAATTTATGGTCCAGTGTGTGAACCAAAACTGCCAATGAAAGAGATTTTGAGCTATGTCAGACTGTATACTGTTGCATCTGAGTGAGATGTATGTAGGTAGACCTTTGCTAACTCTTATCAGGCCAGGATGCCTGGATGGAAATTTAGACCAGACAGTTGGAGGCAATGACATGTTAAAACTGCAGCAGATACTTTTCAGTAACTAAAATACTCTATTATCTTTACTTGTCTTTGGCACTATCTTTTCTTTCTTCCCTCTTAATCTTCTCACTATAATTGAAGTTTTAAGGACCATGCTTTTTCCTCTTCAGAGGCCTGCTACACGTGAAAGAGGCACTCAAACTGCACATAAGTAATTAGATTACAAATATGGAATAACCGTTTGTTCAGGACCAGCAAATGTCTAGCAAAATGGTAGGAGCTACTTTTTCAAAGATATTATTAATCATCATTAAATCTAAGGCTAGTTTCCCTGCACTGACGAGCATCAATAAAAAGGCCAAAATTATTGAAGAAGTCCCAAGAGTTCACAAAATACAAGAACACTCACATACAAGATATACTGGAGGAAGGGCTTAGAATACACACAACTCCAGAAGCCTAGGTTTTTAAGGTGTACAGGTAGCAAGGTATGCAATTTTGGTTTACTAATAAAAGCAACATTTTTTCCAACTTTATAAAGGCTGAATCAAGTAAGTATGATGCAGGACAATTCTCCAAGCTCACAAATGGCAACAATGAAACTAGGACCAGAACACATTCTTTATGAAAAAAGAAATTGAATCCCTAACATCTTCAGAGCAGTTGGGCAGGGAGTAATGCTGCTATCTTCAGAGCAGTTGGGCAGGGAGTAATGCAGGGAGTAATATATATATTCTGCTGCAGGGAGTGTCTGAATATGAGTTCCAGTGTAAGTGACAGTAACTACTTTGTCTTGTATAGTAAACGCCCTATTAGATTTGATCAAACTGGAATGCAAGCATACTGGCAAATACAGCCATGCTGACCTTAGGATTCTCAGGACATCATCATCTGTAGCAGAGAGAACACGTAAAGCCAACATCCCCAGCAACTCATTAAGAATAACATTACTTGACATGTCTAAAATAAAAGTATTTAATAAAAGTATTTAATAAAAATAAAGAGCATCTAATTTATAACCAAGTATTTTGTCCCACAACAAAGAGATCATTAGTTCAGCTTTGCTTTCCAAATATGCTCATGTCTGGTGAAATAAAAACTGAATATCTTACCATTGCGATTGATTTCACTGGGATGTGTTCTTGAGAACTACCAGTCTTCGGTTCATTCCAGTCTGGAAATTTAATTACTTCCTTTCCACATGAAGGTTTTTTTGGATATGGCTTCAGCGGTGAGGAAGGAGGAAATCTACAATAAGAGAATATTTTTAGTGCCTCTGAACTCCACCCTATTCCATATTTATCAATGCAAAACTGTAGCAGACCTTCACATGCTAAAATAAGAAAAATGCCTTGGATGTTCACAGTGCAAGTAAGTTGCCTGAAGACCGGTGTTGAGTGACTTGTAAAACAGCCTGACGTGTCTTGTTTGGCCTCCATCTGCTGCTTCGGGTCCTTTGTACCTCCCTTGACATAGCTGAGCCTGGGGTGAATGTCTGATATCCCAGTGCATCTCAAAGAGGAGAAGCTGCCTATGCATAGACAAGTGGCTCAGGTCTTCACTAGAAGACACTGATGCTTCTGAAAAAGCTATGGGTATGTCAAGTGCACTAGCATGCATCTCCTAAAGCAAGCAAAGCCACATAATAAGTCACATGACTAACCTTGGCTTTCATTAATGTACATGCAAGTGTCCACATGAAGTTTTGTCATTACCGTGTTCTTCTGTGTTTACATGTTTTCTATGCGAAGACCATATCCTGCTGCTCTTTTCCAGAGTCTTTTTCCAGCTGATTGTACAGGAAACTCATTCACTTTTTAACGCATTTCAAGAAGTGCCCTGAATAAATTAGTAGAAATAAACCCTAAGCTAGCCTGTGCAGAATCATCACAGAATCATAGAATGGTCCAGGCCGGAAGGGACCTCCAAAGGTCATCTAATCATCTAGTCCGACCTCCCCACAGTCAGCAGGGACACCCCCAACTAGACCAGGTTGCCCAGGGCCTCATCGAGCCTCACCTTGAATATCTCCAGGGATGGGGCCTCAACCACATCCCTGGGCAACCTGTTCCAGTGCTCCACCACCCTCACAGTAAAAAGCTTTCTCCCAATCTCCAATCTAAATCTGCTCTTCTCCAGCTTAAAGCCATTGCCCCTCGTCCTGTCACTACAGACCTTTCTAAACAGGCTCTCCCCAGCCTTCCTGTAGGTCCCCCTCTCAGGTACTGGAAGGCTGCTATTAGGTCTCCCCGGAGCCTCCTCTTCTCCAGGCTGAACAACCCCAGCTCCCTCAGCCTGTCCTTGTAGCAGAGGTGCTCCAAGCCCCTGATCATCCTCGTGGCCCTCCTCTGGACCCTCTCCATAAGGTCCATGTCTTTCCTATACTGAGGGCTCCAGACCTGCACACAATACTCCAGGTGAGGTCTCACCAGAGCGGAGTAAAACGGAAGAATCACCTTTCTGGACCTGCTAGCAGCAAACTGTCCTGGATCACATTCAGCTCAGTCACATCTCTACATCTCCAGCTTGAGCAGAATTAAATTACTGCCAAACCCAGGTCAGAGCATCTACTAAGGAATGAATGGCAGCACTTCAGAAAGGCAACTAAGTTCGATAGCAAGATATCATCTGATTGGTCCAGATCAGACCTTGTTTACTCCTAGGTTTTAGATGCTGAGATTGAGCCTCACTCAATTTTTAATCAGAACATAAAAGACAGTTATGTCTCTGTGACCATGCAAGGCGAGCTTGTACACCACTCAGTAGCATGCATTTATATCCTACCAGAAAGATTCTCATGCTAAAGAGATCCTCAAGTTTTCTCTAAAATTTCACCCCACCCTCTTAAGGCAGTTCCAACACTTAGTTAGTTTTTAAATTAGTTTTGTATTGCAATTTTGTTAGTCCAGTAGTGTTATACTGCATGAGTTAAACACATTATGCACACTGAGCCCATTTGGCATATTCCACAATGCTCTTCAGATATCCGCAACACAGGGAGATACCACTTCCTTCAGACAAACACTGAGAGAAGTAATAAGCACCGTTCACTAATCCTGCAAGACTTACTCTTCCTTTTAAAAGTAAGCCAGATTACACTGCAGATGTTCAGCTGTTGAGTGTTCTCAACTGTTTTTCAACTATTTGTTATTTCTTGGAGTTTAATGTTAAAACATCTGCAGCCTTTTTTTCTTTGTTTTTTATAGTAATCTCAACAGTTCCCTGTTTCCCGCTCTACTTCTTCACAGTTTTTATCTTTATGTCATTTGCTGCCCTGATTCTCAATCAACCAGTAAATGAATAAGTTCTTACAAGCAGAAAAAGGAGGTGCGTTCCCCTTTTTCAGGTAGTGTTACAGCAAGATCCAGATAGAGCCAAGTGTTTGGATGAACAACTAAAAGCCTCTGATTTTATGATGAACAGAATGATGTTACCTGAAGCTAGCAACTGAAGACCATTCCAAGGTTAACATGTCAAGATTAGTATGGTTTACAGCCAGCAGCGCAAGTTTTAGGAGTTTATACAAAGAGGAAATAGAGATATCTGTTTGTGTCCAGAGCAATGGATAGAGAACAGGATCAACTAACAATGGCATCAATGGTATAACAAGTACCACAGCTGAATTCCCAGAAGTTTACTAGCAATGCAAGAGCATTTACCTTTTTGCTTTTAATACAATTGCTTAGATTCCAAAAAATAAAGCCTGACAATTTCCAAAACTCTAACTTCTCATTTATTATTGTAGACTACACTGAGCCAGTAAGTCAGGACACACAGGCAGAGAGTATTTGCTATTTTGAGAAGCCACACTAGTTCTCACCTTCACATTTAATACTTGCCCAACACTCTCAGGGAAATCAACATTTGGTAACATCTCTTTCACATAATCTGTGAAATGAACAAGAGCAAACAACTACACTTACATGCAAAGGTAATGAATGACACAACTGTGCACCACAGTAAATTAGTACAGGAATTTATAGAGACAGAAGGTTTATAGAGACATATCAAGGTTTCCAGAGTAAGCACTGTCAGTGGAATGTGTGACTTATATTGATACTCATATCAAAATGGTGAGGAATATATTTACAACGTAAAGTTAGGTAAGTCCACCAGAGGGTGCTGACAGGACATTAAACACATGAATAGAGGCAGGGTGAAAAACAGACGTTTAGCTCCATAGACAGGAGAAAAGCATGCTTTTATACTTAAAAGCTAAATAACAAAATCATGAGCAGCGTACATAGCCTACTCATGCATCAAACCCTGTGGGAAAAAGCTCAGTCCAACTCAAGATGCATGAAAGGCATGCAGTTTTAGTAAAAACAAAAAAAAAAACCAAACCACAAACCCCACCGTTTAATTAGTAACTTAGTTATCTTTTGATAGCAGGAGGTGGAGAAAGAGCATTATTAAGATAGCTATAGCAAAAGATACTATTGTCCAATAGTAAATCATTAGGCAGAGCACAGTAAATGAAAAGCACAGAAATATTTCACCCAACCAACTTCCACAGCCTGCAGCTTCTCACAGCCTGCAGCTCAGGAAAGTCATGACTGAAAATATAAAGGAGAAAAGAGCATAATAATTTTAATGTGTCACAATGCCAATGCAATACAAACAAATAAAACCCCCACAACTACACAAACACAACAAACCCAAACCCAAGAATATATAGCGTAATACCAGCAGCTACCAAAACCTATATTTAATCTTTTGACAAAGAATCAATGCCCAGAAAGAAAGGAGACAAATTACTTAACACTTACGGCACCAGTTAAAAAAAAATGTGCAGGTAGTGCTGTTCTAAGAACAGACGGAACAGAATTGGGCTAGGAACATACCAAACCATCAACACACCTACCACCATGTGCTGTACCAGCACATAATGTCTTTTCTAACTCTGTTTTAACAAGTAAAAAGCCCACTACAAACCACTCCTTTACATTTAACCACCTCCAGGCAGAAGTCAAGACCCAAGACAGTCTCCAGCTCTTCTTGTCTTCCATGCCTGTTTTCCAACCTGAACTAGTTGATGACTAGATAAGCTATCCCAGTATCTTGCCCTTCTACAGCAACCGAAAGCAGATGGCCAGAGAAGAATATAAGTACAAGACAAGCATACATGATATTTTCTCATAACATTTTCCAGCTTTCAATCGTTTTCAGGTCATAGACTGCAGAACCACATATTATTTTTGTATACTTAGCAACAGACTTTCTTGGGTGAGCTTCTGAAAATATCTTTGGATACAAGTCCTTTGATACACTGGATTCCCTGAATTTGATTCCGAAATTCTAAAATTTAATATTTTCCTTGATTAATTGGTACATGGAATTTCCCTCTACAGAGCTAAGTTTGGAAAGAACATTCATTCTTTATTCCCTGCAAATTATTTAAAATTTCTTCTATTAACATCAATTGAAATTGATTTGAATATTTAACTTGTTTGGCTGGGAAGCTGCAGTCTTCAGTTCTCTTTAATATCTTTATCAATTATCGGGATGAGGGGATAGAGTGCACCCTCAGTAAGTTTACAGATGACATCAAGTTGTGCAGGAGTGCGAATCTGCTTGAGGGTATAAAGGCTCTACAGAGGGATCTGGACAGGCTGGATCGATGGGCCGAGGCCAATGGGATGAAATTCAACAAGGCCAAGTGCTGGGTCCTGCCCTTGGGTCACAACAACTCCAGGCAGCGCTACAGGCTGGGGGCAGAGTGGCTGGAGAGCTGCCTGGCAGAAAAGGACTTGGAGGTGTTGGTCGACTGTCGGCTGAACACGAGTCAGCAGTGTGCCCAGGTGGCCAAGAAGGCCAACAGCATCCTGGTCTGTAAAAGGAACAGTGCAGTGAGTAGGACTAGGGAAGTGATCATCTCCCTGTACTCAGCACTGGTGAGGCCCCACCTCAAGTCCTGTATTCAGTTTGGGGCCCCTTACCACAAAAAAGACATTGAGGTGCTGGAGCTGGTCCAGAAGAGGGCAACGAAGCTGGTGAGGGGGTGGAGAACAAGTCTTACAAGGAGCAGCTGAGATTACTGGATTTGTTTAAGCCTGGAGAAAAGGATGCTGAGGGAAGACCTTATTACTCTCTACAACTACCTGAAAGGAGGTTGTAGTGAGGTGGGGGCTGGTCTTTTCTCCCAAGTAAAAAGGGATAGGACAAGAAGAAATGGCCTCAGGTTGCTCCAGGGGAGGTTCAGGTTGGATATTAGGAAAAATGTCTTCACAGAAAGGGTTGTCAAGCATTGGAGATGGCTGCCCAGGAAAATGGTGGAATCATCGTCATGGAGGTATTTAAAAGACAGGTAGACATGGTGACTAGTGACATGGTTTACTGATTATTTTTTTTTGTCAGTATTGGGATGATGGCTGGACTCAATGATCTGAAAGGTCCCTTCCAACCTACACAATTCTGTTCTACTCTTAAGCATTCAGTGTTATTTCCTTCAGAAAGTATACTAGAAACCAGCTAACACTTGTACTGAAAGATGTCATGCAGTATCATAAAGAACAAGTGGAATCAGTGCTAATTTGTTACTGGAATTAAATACAAATCTGATCCAATCTGACTGTAAATCAACTGAACTGCACCACACCAAGTTTAACATAAACAACAGTTCTTCTATAAGAAAGTTTCTTGACCCGAAATTGCTTATGATACAGTAAAATAATTACATCATATGTACATCTTAAAGTATTCCAAGTTAATAAATAAAATTAGGAGATTAATGAACAACTGCTCTTACAGCATAAGCATACAGACTAGGCAGCAATAAAGCCTAGGCACGCTCTACAAACAATCTAGCTAAGATCATAGACCAAAATGAAAAATTGATTTCATCCGCATCAAGTGGAATTTCAGTACTACATAGTTTTTCCAAAGAGAATACTAAGACATCATTACAAAAAAATTAACACATAAAATTCAAGTATGCAATAATATATACATAATAAATAGAAACATAGCATTATTGTTGATTTATTTTTCCTTCTGCTCTGCATGAAGATAAATCCCATTTCCTCAAAAGAGGATTCACCATGTTGTAAGTTACAGATCCATACTTAAAGGCAATGATCATTTTTACACTACTTTTTAACTGAAGAGGACACAAGATGGTACAAATTCAGAACCCACAACTTCTGGGCACCCAAACTTTAACTGAGGTCACAAGAGGTCAAGAACCCACCCCAGTAATGCAAAGCTTTCACTACAAAGAACATTCTTTTTCTCTGTTAACAAGCCACCAGTTGAGAGGCTAAACAGAGAGATAAGTAAACAAACATCCTTGAGGATGAGCAAATACAACTTTCTCATTTAAGACAATTTCAATCTATAACCCAAGGAGCACAGAAAAAGACTATATATATCATGACTTATATTTAAATTCAGAAGGCCTTTTTCTTCTCTCAGGAGAAGAAACAACATCCAAAAATAGTTGAGAGCTTGTTAGAGAGTTTGGGGAGGGGGAGGACAGCTGGAGTTGGATGCTCAGTGACATCCTCACTTCCATCAACATCTTCATACGCACTCTCCCAACACTGACAAACCTGATGTCTACCAACAGCAAACAGAACTCACTACCTTGTAAAAGCTACAAAAGCTTTTGATAGTATTTGTAGAATGTTAAAATGCCCTTCAAAAATATTTTTTTAAAAAGCAAGAAAGCTAAAAATAAACCAAACCAAACATTAAATCATGACAGTTACCTACCACTAAAATAGTAATCTTTAAAAAGAAAGAGAAGGGAAGACACCTTAACATCTTTTCAAAGGCATTTTACAATAACAGTTGCAAGATCAAAACACAAGAGTTATTCTGTTTCCAAAACCTCACATTTTTCAGTCATCGTATATAGGTTTACCTATATAAATGGCCATCATCTTGAAAATCCTCTTTGCCCCATCTTCCTTTAATATCTTCAATAACGTGATTTTTTAGGAATTTTCTAAGCAGCTTAACCGTTTGATTGCGAGTCACTTCTGGGCCAAAGTTTTGATTAGAGCCAAGCAATTCATGTAAACAGTCCACTGCCTCCGAGGCTTTAAAGCAACGCTCGTAGCTTTTGAAGCGACATCGATGCTTTCGTAAAGGCATCCCAGCACGAAAAAGTTCTATTATCTCATTCCACTGGGGAAGAAGAACAAAGCAAACCGTTATGGAAGCCCTTCTCCTAGAAGCATTTTAGTTGTACAAAATGAGATCAGAATGCAATGAGATCTGAATGCAGAAATAGGTACTTTTTTGATCATTTGCATTTACAAGCACACTAAAACATAAAACTATGAGAAGTTTGAGATCAGTTGAGATCTGAGAACAAACACCGGATTTAGGAAGCTGAAAGAGCTCGTGCCCCATATTACCTATGGCTCTACACATACAGTTTTAACCTCGCGTTGGCTTTTAACTTGACAAAGACTGGATTAAAGCTCTGCTCTGCCGCCGACCCAGTCCCACATGGGTCCAGCTGCCTCACACAGACTCAGTTGCGGGGAGCACCCACACCCGGACAGCCGTTGGGGAACACCCCACCAGGTCCTCACGGGGGACTGGCTGCCCGGAACCGGCCCAGGGCCCTCCCGAGCTGGCGGCACTCGGGTCTCAGGCCGCAGAGGCCCGGTCAGCGGGGCAGGCCCAGGCGGCCAGACTGCCTCAAGGCAGCCGGCCAGTACCCAGGAGACTGGAGTCGCGGGTACGGCGGCCCCACCCGGATGAGGTAAAGTTACACAAGGAGCAAAGGCGGAGATGGGGACACAGGGCTCAGGGGGGAACTCACCAGCCGGGTGGCGCGGTAGGGCCCGGGGCCGACGAGACCTGGCTCCATGGACGCAGCCAGGCCCGGCCTCGCCGTCTCCACGGAAACCGACAGCAGCGCGCGCCGCCCGTTTGAATCTGGGCCCGAGAGGCGCCGCCTTCTTCTATTGGTTGGCGGCGTGGGCTCGTGACGGCGCCGCAGCGCCCTTGATTGGCGGTGGAGGGTAGGTGGGGTGGGGGGGAGACGGACACGCGGACCCGTGGCCCCGCCCCCGCGGAGGGCCGCCCCCATCTTGCCGCCGCCCGCCAGGCCCCGGCCCGGCCCGGCGGTGGGGAGCGAAGCTGCCGGGGACCCCTGGGCTCTACCCCCGAGGACATCCAGGCTTCCACGTCCGCGGTCCTCGGCCGGCTGCGGGTTAAACAACGCCTCAGGTTGGGCCCGTGCGCAGGAGGGGAGAATCTCGGCTCCTGCCGGGGCAGGAAGGGCACCTTCAGGGGAGGCTACAGGGAATAAGGTTTAAAAACAAGCCCCTGCGCAAGGCCCGGGGGACTCTGAGGTGGAAAATGGTGGAGGGAGCGGAAGAGGGCGGTTAGGAGGCCGTGCAGCCTGGCACTTCATCGTGCAGTTCAGTGGGGCCTTCTGGCTTCCCAGAAGATACATTACTTAATTTTTTAAAATGAACATTAACTACGTCTCATTGTTTGTGCTTCCTCCGTCCGTAAGTGGTTCAACACCAGGGCCCAGGCAGCAGTTTGGAAAACAGTCAAACCACATCGATGAAATATCATCTGGTGGATTGCCACCTTGATAAAGAGAATACAGCCTTTTCATCAATGTGGAGGAAGAAAAAAAAAGGGCAAACACCCCCCAATTTTAAGGATTTGCTTTCTTAGGAGAGCAGTAGGGAGTCATACTAGTCTTTCTGCTCCACCAAATCTGATACAAAATTTCAACCCCAGTTCCCCTCATTATCAGTAAACATTCACTATAACATTAACCATTTTTCTGACTATTGCAGTCCTCTTTCTAGCATAATTCAAAGGCATAATGTGCTTGAGCATGTAAAATGCACAGTTTTTAGGTAGTAAAATATGTAGCTGTCCAAAGGCTGTGCTATTCTCGCAGGCTGTAGCGTTGCGTTTAGCAGGACAGGGATTAGTAACATTTTATACTGATGTCGTTAGCATAGTTATGGTATATGCACCCTCTTAGAATACATCCATACAACTCGCTGAAACAAAGCGTTCTTTCTCCAAAGGCTTCATAATTTACAGAAAACTAAGCCAGTGTGCAAGAAATTATGCAGTGGGCATCTGAAATGGCACTTGCTGACAGCCCACTGAATGATTAGCATCTCCAGTTTCTGCTCCTGCTTATTAATTCTTAATCTCAAACAACTGATGCTGGAGGCAGCTGGCTACTGTACAGCTGCTGGACTTGGAAAGTTTTTCCTGGCTCCTTTCTTTTCAGCACCTGTCCATCCACAGAGCTGCTTCGTTTTGACTGTGTGTGCTCTCGGCTCCTACTTAAACCCGAGTGAGTTTGAGGAATCAGTTGCAGATCTCAGTCCCAAACCAACAAGTGTCTGGCCCCTCATGCCCCACTGCAGGAGTGGCAGCATGGATGCAGAAGGTAGCATCATCCATCTTACGCTATAGACTAGCTATTGAAGCCTTTCCCAAACACTTTTGAACCCTCAGGCTCAAGAAGGCTTAAAGGAACCAAATGGCCCCACTTTCTTCATCAGTACTTAATGAATAGATTATACAGAAAGTAGGCACCATTCAAGCTTTAAAAATAAATCAGAGGCAAATCCTTCCCCTCTGTCTGAAAAAACAGCAATAGGTCTTTATCCCTAGGAGATGACCCCCTACTTTGGAAGCCAAGGGCATGCACACAGGCTGGAGGGCTGGCGGTATTTGGGACTTCAGAGTCAGTGATTGCATTTCCCACTGAAAATGTGTGGCCCCTGATCAGCACCCCATCTGTCTTAGATTCTGTGCCAAAGCACCTCTCTTTGTGCACTGCGAGGGAGATGAAACTCAGCCCTGAGGATTCCAGGATCAAGCATCTAAAATTAAGGGGTCACAATTTACATTTCAAGCCATTCAAATCCTTTCTGGGAATCTAATTTCAATCTGCCATGACAGTCGATAGCTACAGGGATTAAATAATGGAAAGATAGAATATAAATTTATTTTTAATTTATTTTATAAAGGAGACTCATATGTAATCTCATAACAAATCATTTGTAACTCATGTCCAAGACAAAGTTTAAATTCTTTGAGCATTAACAGTGCACTATAAATGTCAGTATCCCCATAAAAGTATTCAGGTAGCAAAACTTACTGTCTTGGAATTGTACATCAGGGAGGAAATGAAAACCTGCCCCAAAAAAATCCCACACATAAATCAAGCACAAAGTAAATATCGCAAGCTTCTTTTCTGTTAGTAGTGAACGTGATATAAACCAGTACTTTTCATAGTAACATTAATTTAAACACCTTTAACTCCTCATTTACAGGTCTGTTATATGCACCAATTCCTTAATAAATTCGTGCAGTACAAATGCAACTTACATACCATTAGCTAGGTCTTTTGATTTCTATACATGTGTGACCGGAACAATCTGCCTAACCATGGAAAACAACATACCAGTTAATTCTGCACAGACTGGAACCATGCCCAGTCACCACTGCCAGACCCATTCTCAGCAGCTCAGAGAATGGCACGTATCTTTTTGTCTGGTTCCAGGCAAGGTAACTGGTGCTATTAATGGAGACATTTTAACCTTGAGTTGTTAAAAACAAACAATAATAATCATGGAAAAAAGCTAACAGAAAAACTTTCTAGACATGTACTTCAACAGATAATGGAAGAAAATAGAGCATAGTACAATCATGCTAGGTGACATTTAGGCTTCAATCAAAAATATTTTTTTAAAACTTATTTGAGGACTATGATTTTGGCTATTGAATTACAAGATTTTTTTCCCCTCCCTAAACAGCCTAGGCTATCAATATCGAAATATATCCATAGATACATTGAATACTAAGTATATTAGGCTACTTTGGTGAATAGATCAGTGAGATGTTTTGATCATTACACTACAAGACAGTCCTGATAATCCTCAAACTAGTAGCTTTCTGACATTTAGAATAACATTCAAGTGAGTAAAATATGAAATGAATTAAGTTATCTTAGTAAAAGACAGTATATCCAAAAACCTATGATCTTCAAATGAAACGCCATACCTTGACAGATTAACATACATTCTTTTCTGTAAAGTAATATAGTTCATAAACGTTGTTACACTTGTTTATGTGTTAACTATATTAATAGTAAGCCTTAGATTCTACAAACAGTACTTACTGAAGATTCATTCTTTTAATAAAATGCAGCTGACAGTCTCAACAACTTACAACATTTAAGGTGAAGTAATTTTTTCTCCTCAGCGTTCAAAGTACTCAGTACTTGTCATACACATTTTAGTTTTCCCAATGAATATATTTATTTTTATGCATCTTCAAGATAGAGATCATCTACCCATTCATTTCTTATAGGATAAACATGAATAAGTTGTTGAAAAAAACACCTTTTTTCTTTCTTTTTCCTTTTTTTAAATTAGAGATCCACACTACTCCCCCCACCCCCCAAATTCTGAATCCCAAATAACTTATGGTAAAAATACAAATTCTGTTTTGGAAGAAAACATACAAAATATACACTGTGTAGTGTGTGCACCTAAATATCTTGATTGTCAAGTAGTGCAAGTTTCCACATTGACATATACACTTCTTTGTTTTTTTGAGACAAGAGATAGTTTCACTGATCTTTGTTGATCCCATTTCTTGCCATCTTTGGAAGTCTTTGTCCCTTTGTGTAAGCGTGGTACCAGAAGTGGAGAAACAAGACTAAAAACATAGAGCCGTATAGCCAAATAATAAACATGAAAATTGGATACTGGTACGGACAATCATCCATGATGTAGATTTGCCCTATGTGGCATGTAATCATAATAAACTGGACCTGCAGGAAAGAGGTGAAAAAAATAAAAATACTTTTAAAATAAATTACAAACTTGCTACCAACGTTTAAAAAGATTCAGCATAACTTGCGCACAGAAAAATAGAAAGCACTTTTTAAAATGACAGAGATGCACCTTTATACCCTCTCTCCCAAAAATGTTACTCCACTGAAAGACATTTTTACAGAGTAAAGCAAGAGAAGTCCTGGGACAAACTGATTACAAGCAGCACTGAGAAACCCATACTAGGAGAAAGGGAGCCTGCCCTGGCTGGTTCAGAGAAGAATGAACAGTGTTTGACCTGTGGCAAATGGGAGGCTCCTTTAGAAAAATTATGCAGAAAACTGAAAAAACTACTATGAGACACTAAGGTCCGCAGGTCCCCCCCAAAAAATTGAAAGGAGGATTTAAAAATAAAGAAGCAATAAATTTCCACATGAATTTCAAGTTAATAATCCACTGGTAGTGACGCCAAAACAAAAAGACTTTAAGTTATAAATATTCAAGCTAATTGTTCAGAGTTACACGTGGTTACATGAACTACTCTATTAACACTAGACCTGGTGCAAGGAGGGAAAGCAGCAGGGAAAAGCTGCTTTCCCTCCTCCATCAGCATCTGTGCTCAGTCCAAACAAATTGTTTAGCCAGAAGCTGAATTTTGAAAATTCAGCTATTAAAAAGCCGGGCATGAAAAAGCACCTAGAGCAGTAACCTTTTGAAAGTGATCTAATGCTGATAAAACACAATGTAATTACTGTAAGAGTGTTTTTTAATGCTGAGTTAAAGAGAGGTAAATTCTGTAAACATATTTTTAATGAAAGAACAGATATGAAATACTAAACAAACACTACTTTTCCCCTTTCCTCACTACTAGTCATGCATTCTTTACAATAATTATGTTTTGTTGGTGTAAAATTACATTCTGATGATTTTTACACAGGCAACGAGTTTTATAAATACATTTACCAACTACTGCATAACTGAAAAGCCCATGTGTCTAAATCTGTGATTACAATGAATGCTGAAGTTAGCAGATTTAAGCATATAACTGAGGGGAGCTCACTTTTGTTTCACTCAATTAAAACACAAGAAAACCCTGGGCCAACTGCAAACTACACACATGAACATAACTGAAAGTATAAATGTACTGCATGAAGCCTTTATTAGCCACAATCAGTTTTCTGGGAGCTGTTTACATCAAGCAAAATTACTCACAAGTTGTATAGTTGTCATGTATTTTTTCCACCACAAATATTTATGATAGGCTGGTCCCAAAGAACAGATTCCATAATAAGTGTACATGACAACATGGACAATACAGTTCAGCAAAGCATGAAATGTTCCCAAACCACCTGTAGAAAAAAACAAAACATGATAAACATGATCGTATTACTGCATAAGGTATTCAAAAAGCAATCTTAGGATCTAGTACTTCATTTTGGGTTGGGGTAGGAAAAAAAAAAAAATGTATACCACAAAACGTACAGACTTTGATTAACCCTCAAGGTATTTAACCTGAATTGGATTAACACCAATTCTGAGGGATCACACCAGTTTCCTTTCTCAGAAAAGGCTTACCTAAGCATTTCCAAACCAGCAATAAAACATAGCTGATATAAATATATGTAAACGGAAAGGATTTAGTGGTATTTTTTGTTCTTTGGGTTAATTTTTTTATTATGTTTTTATTACAACATATACATGATAGAGATGCAGGGAATTTAGTAGAAATAAATTCTACTGTTTTACCCCACTTTTCAGACATCATGATGAACTTTGCAAAGTTCTGGAGGATAAGTAATAACTCTCTCCCCAGCACAGATTTCCAGATTCCCAAAGAATCACAGTTTTGGACAGTAGCTTTTTGGAATCATGGCCTAAGTGAAGGTCTCGCAAATTCATGGTCCGTCTTGAAACATACTTACAGTGAAAAGGAAATTTAAGGCCAAGTAGCCCCATCTGGGGCAAACTTACTACTGAAGCTGGTAAGATATGAAGATTTCACAAAGCAAGTAAGGAAATACTTCCTTTTCCATTTAATTAACTATGGAGTTAGCTGACCCTTATCAAAGACCTTTATTTTAAAGAACACAATAAATTATAGGTAAAAATGATCCAAAAAGTGGCAGACAGCAAAGTATTTTTAAGAAAAATATCAAAATGAAAACACCGAGCATTAGGAAGAAAACAAGATGACATAAAAACAGAGGTTTAGTGAAGGGAAGAAAAGCCAACTTCCTATTAAGAATCATTCAAGTTAAAAATAAAGCTTATTTTGTGATTTTAGTATCTCACACTAATCTTCCCGCTTGACAGATCATAACTCCTCCAGCTGTGACTACAAACTTTCTTTGAATCTTAGCTATTTGTATTTTTAAAAATAATTTGAGTGTTCTTACAGTTCAAATGTACATACTTTTTTTGGCTTGCACAGTGAATAGTCAAAAGAAAAAAACAACCTAATCAACAGTACAAAAATATGCTCCAAAAAGCAACACGATACATAAGCACCATTTTACAATTTCATGGCAATATCAGATCAGAGAAAAATCTCCATTCAAAGCTGTTGGGTTTTTTTTACAAACAAGTTGAAAACTGGATCAATGCCGCTATTTAGAAGGACAGTGATGAAACTGAATACACGATAATCATAAGCATGACTGAAATTCTTGGAAAAAAAATTGTTATCAAACAGAACAATATTTGGAAAGATTAGCACAAAGATAAGCAATAGAGCTGTAGGAATAAACACAGCTCTGCATCAATATGAGAAACTATTATTAGCAGAGGACAAAACAGTTCTTGCACACTTTGCTGGAAGTATTTCTCGAATTATCACATGGGAAATTTGAATCTGATGCAAAATTAGAAGCCTGTAGCTGGTAGACTGATCTGATGTCCAGATAAAAGGCAGAAAGTTAATCAACTATAACTGGAAACTTTTCAAGGTTGAAGAGGAGGGACTGTTAGTTGCTGGTTTTTTTAGTTGCAGTTGGTTTGCTTTTTTGTTTTTTTGCAAATCTATGAACACACTGAACTGTATGCTGAGAAAACTATTGACAATTTCATCATGAACTTAAAATACCAGTTACTCAGCCATATTTAAGTCAGTCATGATGAAGACAACAAAACACCAGCTTCTTAATAACAGAAACTCAACAAATACAGCAGAAGGATATCCTTTTATATGCTAGGAAAATCTGCACACTGAACATGTTCAAAAAATCACATCTATGAATCTTCTGGACTGCTACCAGGTCTTATTTTTGTATTCATAAAACAGACACTAAGATCAGATTTAATAAGCAATGGTTGTCTTCATCAATTCCTCACCAATTTTCTGTGAGGACAAAAAGAAACCCACCATGCCAGAGAACGTGAGTGAAGAAACATGTACAAACTAAACTGATTTCCTGGTAGAAACTCCCAAAAGAACATTCACCACTACCACCCCAGAGATGGAATACTAAATGACAGCATTTCTCCACTCCGTGCTTATCAGGCTATTCTCATGGCAAGCTGTACTTATTAGTGGTGCACACTAATAATGTGGCATAGGAAGATGCATGCCTAGACATACAGAGCAGGAAAGGAGACAGTGAAGGTAAGCTAGAAATGGACAAAGACTTCCAACCCAGCACAATTCAAATAAGTTTCTGTGGTAAGTAAGGTCCAGAAAATATTTCTGTAGTTTTTGAAAGCCAAAGTATTAGATGTAAATAAACCTCAATTATACTACCTAAAGCCAGTAAAAATAACTGCAAAAAAAGCCTGAAAAATTTCTTAAGCAGGCAAAACCAAAATTAGAACACAGCCCTCCCTTCCAACTCATTTCTTAGATTTCACGTTGACAAATAGCTTTGAAGTTGTTTCAATAGTTATCTGCCTCATGTGCCTCCCCTAGCACTTCTGATTTTACAGTCACATCTCTTTATCATGTAATAATGCTTTTTTCTTATATACACCTCCCTCCTTTGCACCTTTTTTGCCCTACAAGAAACCAACACTGCACAAAATGCTGTCAAATAGGAAAAATGAGAACTCCCCGCCCATTTAAATAATTGTATTGATCTCAGATGTTCCATGAAATACTGCTGACATGAAAATTTAAAAAACAATGATGTTTGCAAGATTTTTAATTCTGTTCTTTAAATATTTTTGTCTAGCATAGTTAACTTTTACTACCAGAAGATATGTACGACTTAAACTCTCTCTCCACTACCTGGAGCAAATTTGACTCCAAACCACCAGGTCCATGGCATGATGGAATGATGAAAGACATGCAGGAATGTAACTTGGTTGTTTTTCTTACGCAGCACAAAAAATATCTGAAACAGATTTTCAATGAACAGAATGTTACATGAGATAATCAAGCCCAACATACTTACAGAAAACTGTATGCATCAGTGCTGGTTGATTAACTACTATAGATTTAAAAATTCTTCACAGTTGCAGTCTTGGGAAAAGAAGGGAAGCTGAGGCTCTGGATATGTAGACTAGTTTTCAAAGAAAAAAAATGAAACCAGTATGTAAAATCCACCTGTGGAGCCTCAAAGGCCAGGGCAAGTTTTGAAAGCAAATGTCCAAGATTGAGCCATCACCTACGTGCGCAACAGGCAGTATAAGATGGACTTGCTTGGATTGAGAAGTATCTAGAAGCATCAGATTTTAAGTCCTCTGGACTACTAAGGCAATGCCATTTGAGAAGATTAACCAGAGGACTAGCAACAGGCAGAGACAGTAGAACATACTAAGTTAGAGAAATAGCACTTTATTATCAATACTGACTTAGTTACCCTTGGAAAAAGGCAAAACTGGACTGAAAATAGGTAGATATTCATAACCAATATTGACTGGCTGCTTTTTAAAGGACAGACATTGAGGGAAATGTTGAAGGAAGTGTTAAGGGAACAGAGAGCAAGAAAACCATAAGAAGTCAGGTCATGCAAAGGGCAGTATCAGATGACAAGCAAAGGAACACAGAAGAAAAGAAGTCTGGTGTGCCAGGGAAAACATTTGGAAACAGCTGACTGAAATGCAGCAAAATTACTTTTGCAATAAAACCAAAAACCTGCTGAGAAACAGGTACCTGATTGGGTGGATTCAAACAAAACACATGTTTTTTTTTAAAAATAATTTTTCAGGCTTAGGACAAATTAAAAAGGAGCAGGCTAACCAGGGAGTAGTAAAGGTAAGTGGAAGACTAAACTTGTCAGGGTCTTCCAGCTTTAGCATTCCTGGCCCTTCCATTGCCATTCCATTTGGCTCAGTCAGTAAGATGTTCCAGTGTTGAATCATGAGTATTTGCAAATGGAAGTTAGATGGCTAACTTGGCTCGCAGGGCGTAAAACATCCTAACTACTCATGAGTCAGCTCCTGAATCACCACTATTGCAACCCACACAATAAGGCAAAGGAAATCACAGCTGATTCCAACAGTCAGAAGCTGGAGAAGTTGGAGAATAGCTAAAGCACCCCTGCTAGGTGTCAGTCTTGGGAGGAAGGAAAGACAGATGGCTGCTGGTGGTGAGTGAGGTCTGCATTCTGCTTCAATGCACTGCTGTTCAGACTTTCTTTGAAACAAGTTAGGGAGCCTTCCTGATATTGAATACATCTATAGTGACCACAAAGGCAAGGGAACTTAGAGGATGTAGGTATGGCAATTTATGCTGTATTCAGAGCTGCTGATGCAAACATTCTGGATGTGGAAGATAAAATCTGAAGATGACATGGGAAAAAAATTCAACATGATCAACACCGTGTTTTATCTGCAGCGTGGAGAAAAGCATTGCCATAGCACAACAGGTTCGTGTACTCAGTTGTTAAACAGACAGTTGTCAGGGCTTCCTAAATTTTTAAAGGTGTGTTCTCTCATTAGCATGTTTTCCTGATAATAAAGGAATGACAGTGTAAATGGACAATAAGACGAGAAGAGATAATAGGGGTAAAAACCTTGATGGTATTCCAATAACTGAAGATTGGAGGGCTAAATATAGAGCGATTTATGCTTCCGGCCCCCAACAGCACCAGTTCTTCTTCAGTGAAAAGGAAACATCACTACTTCTTTTATTAGGCTACAAATACTTACAGTGTCTAATAATTCAATGAACTTGGAAAAGTAGTACAGCCAGCAAGTTCGTACCATCTGCAAGAGCAAAAAGCAGAAACTGTCAAATCATAATAGTCGTACATAAAACTAAGCAGCTGCAGGAAAAATAAATAACTATTAAAAAAAATATTGGGACAAGTAAGTGGTGTCACAGTGTTGACAGAAATATTGAAATTTAAGTCTTGATTATTTTGGTTTATTTTGGTGGAGTTTTTTTGTTTCGTTGGTTGTTGTTTTTTTTTCCAACAGGAGGAAAGAATTTTGAAACCAAGAAGAACAAGGCAACAAATACATTGCCTCTTTTTTTTTTTCCCCAAGCAATCAACCCTCCAGGTAACTCACATGCTCTACATTAGGCAAGAGGGCATTTCCATTTAGTGCATTCCACTCTACAGCAGTGCATTTGGTTGTTCAAAAAGCATTTCCAAAAATAAAGTCAGTGTAGCATGACAATTCAGCTTTGCTTTTAGCAACTTACTCTTAGAGCTGTAGGTGACCTCGAGTAGTCAACGATATCACACCGGAATGAGTACCCTGTGGCCCAACCTGACATAAGAAACTGGAGCAAAGAAAAAGGAAAGCGCAAAGATTTACTTTATGTCTTTTGAAAACTTCATTAATTTTGGATTACTTTTGCAATCAGTAAGCAGGAGGGGAAAACAATATTAAAAACCTGTTGAATCAGCAACCTTGTCAATCATCCACCTCTGTGTGGGCCATAAAATCCTCTGCCTTTGCAGATTAATGAATTTCTAGTTCCAGGACCACACCTACAGAAAAGAACTTTCTTCCTACACCCATTATCTCAGCATTAGTAACCAAAGAGGAGAAACAGCTGCATCTCAAAACCAATGTTAGAAAAGCAACTTACTGTGTAAATCAGACCACAAAACTGAATCAAACATTTTGAAATTTTTTGTAAATTGCTATCACAGCCAAATGTCTTAATACTGAAAAGAAATCAGCACATCATCTTAATACTGAAAGAAAACCATCACAACAGAAAAATATGGCTTAATATCGTTAAAGACAAGAAATGAATGAATATGTACTATATTTTTAGTATCCTAGTTTCTAAAGTTTTGGTTAATTAAACTGCATGATTCAATTAGTCTTTCACTGAGAGGAGGGATAAGAAGCTGGGGTTTTACAGTGAAGAGCACACGCATAACCAAAGGACTCTATGTAACAAATATAATTTAATCTTTATCCTGGAATATATTAGAGCTCAGACAAGAGCAACATTGTTAATATTACACTTGGCTCACTGCCACACCAGCCACTAGAACTACTGCGTCTTATATCTATTTATGAAGTGCTTCTCATCCATTGATCATCATCATCCACTCACGCACGACAGGAGGTCATGCAATCAAACAGATTGATGGGTTTAGTCTGTGCCTGCAATAGATGTTAAACTTCCTAAAAGAACCAGTTGCTTAAATAAAACAAGATTTGAAACACCACCAAGACAGCACAATCCTTAAGCGCCCACCCAATGGCTTGGATCCAAAGTGGGAAAGAATCAGCTTTTTGCTGGGAGCCAGACAATAGCAGAGATTCAATCAGTTACACTCAATCCATGCATTCTTTCATTAAATTTTAACATGGAATTCTTGACAGCAGATTAGTTGGATAACAGAAGTTTAGGGTGTTTTGTTGTTGTTTCTGAGTGTTATAACCAAAACCAAACTTATCATTAAATCACAAGTTTGGTGATTTTTCAAATCAAAGAGGAAATAATAAATGTGTGCATCCTGCCCATGACATATAGCCTTCCACCCAACAGTCATGACACAGAGTAGCTGCTGCTGCTGCTGCAGTGCCCGTAGAGTGCTGTTAAAAGAAATGCCAGGCAGTTCACTGTAACTCATGATGAAATTTCTGCAAATTAAGCTGAAAGAAAGGTATCCTGCCAATTTGGCATGACAGTCTGGCAACTTTTCATTAACAGTTTGCCGCACCTAAAATAGCCACGTAGCCAGATTTAACACAAGAAGGGTCAGTACTAGCATATTGATGTTTCACTAAGCAAATGTATACGGCTATCATTTACACAATGCTACTGTTAAACAGCTACACTTTAAAAAAACCACAGCACCAAAGAAAAACAACCAAAAAAATCAAACAAAACCCCAAAACAACAGTTATCTATCTTAAGGCTTAAAAGCTGGTTCTAAATTAAAACTTCTACTTAGTCTATCACATTCATAGTTACAGATTTTTAGGTCATTCAACCCATGACCCTATGCAACTCATCAGGCTTTCCCATTCAGAAGGTCTAACATCTGCTTGAGATATGAACTACAGCAAAATCTCAACATTCCTATTGAGAAAAAGAGCCTTTACCATTTCTGGGAGGGGAGAAGAAAAAAAATCTCAGTTCTAAAGTTTTTCATGTTGGTCTTGTGGTTTTTGGTTTGTTGTGGGGTTTTTTTTTTTTTTTTTTTTTTTTACTGGTGAAGGTCGCCAGATTACATATTGTTCTCTTCTGCCTTTAAAAGGTAGATCTAACTGAAGATTATTCTGTAGTAAACATACTCTACACCCTGTGTGAAACATCAGTGTTGACTATCACGTAGTAAGACAGAAACAACTACAAAAGGCTAAGAAAAAGATGTATTCTGCTTTAGCTGCCAGAGCCCAGGGAAATTCACAAAGTTATAAGGATTTTTATTTTTATATATTATACATAATTACACATAGAATATTTTAAAGTCTGTCTTTCTAGGTATGAATTATTCCCTTTTGTCAAGTATCAGCTCAATCAGTTTAGCATATTGCTTGGAGAAATATAATTAAAACAATCAGAATAATCGGTTTTTGAGAATTGCATAGCAGGAATTATATTAATACATTTATTAAAAGTTAGCAAGAGGACAGATACAAAATATATAAATGTGTTACAAATAAAAGTAGTACTTACTTCATAAGTCATATATATAGAGAGAGCTACCACACTGAAATTGTAAAATGCCATTATCTGCCTGAGTTCAAAAGGTTTTTTATTTTCCATGAGTCTGGGTCCCAAGGAAGTGACAAAATAAATGTAGGTTCCAATGATAAAGGTTGTTGGAAAAGGTGAAGACATGAGCGGCCAGCCTTCCAGTCTTGGATCTAGAAGAGAGGGGGGCGGGGGGGAAAGAAAAAAAAACAGAAAAGAAACCTTTCAAGTACTTATTAAATCCTAAAACAGCTACAGAAAGGTACTTAATTCTTAACCCTTTAGGTTTTTCTGTCACTGATCACATTTCAGAGTCCATTCACCTCAAATCCATACCAACTGGATAACATGATTTAGCACCTGTAGGATTCAGTGCTTCTTTGTGCATTTATTCTTCACACATAACAAAGAGGAGACACATTAAGAAACCGGATTTTCGGTCTAGAGCTCTCCTCAATGAAAAGTCCACATTTTCACACATGAAAGGGGCTCTGAGGGCAGCACAGGAAGGCGACGCATGAGCAGGTCACCGAGGCTGCATTTCCATCTGAGAATTCATTCTTCTGGAAAAGCATGAATCTTATTTCACAAGCTCAAGTCACAGACGGGGACTAGGCCCACTCTTCAATGTCCTTGAGCTTTATAAGCAGTACTGCATTAGAGATAGTAAATATGGGGATTTTAATGTTAGAAGACCACCTGTCCCATCAGCTGGTGTTCAGAGCTTAGCGCATGAGGCTTCTGCCTATTCACTCCAGACACGTCACCACTTTCACAGCACTACAGAACACACTTTCGTATTACAAGCCTCCAAATGGCAGAAGTGTTGCAAGTTCCCCTCCAGTTATCCCAGAAAGAAGTATTGCAGAGTCCCTCTCCTACGCACACACTCCTCCCACTCCCTCTCCCAGCAGCTGAGACTGGCAGGCACTCCCTCTGAGCTTCACCGCGATCCCACTGCACCTTTCTGTGCTTCATCACTGAGCTCACCAAAGACTTCAACGTTTCTCCATATGCAGGAGAACCAACATGAATTTCACATATTTTTTTTTAAATATGCATTTTTCTAATTTTTATAAATTGACTTTTGGAAGATTCATTTCTGAATGATCCCAAATTTAACTCCTGACTCAGTAAATTGCTGCTTTCATGATTTGCTGCTGTATTTTGGGGGTGAAACTACACTACTGCAATTCTTGTTAAATGCTTACTTTATCATCAAATGTCCTAAGTCAGTGATTTTCAACCCATAGCATTCAAACAACGTATCACCCCTGAGACCCTCTGATGTTGCTTACAGCCACTGGAAGTTTTAAAACAGATTGAGAAGGAAAGCACATTATAATGCTGCTCAGAGCCCGTAATGTGCCCCGTGCTGGTGCCCACAGACCAACAAGGATTGTGAACACCACCACTGGGCACCTGTATGTGTTGCACTGCAAGGGAATCACCAGCTCTTCACAACTGGCTGCTTTTTCAGCATCCAACCCTTGCACTGATGCTACCAAAACTTTCTCGTTGGTCTTCCCAACCTGATCCTGAGAAAACCATGTCCAGCCATGGCAGCACCTTACAAGATGCCAAATATAAGTACTGGTAGGCGGGAGACAAGGAACTCAAATTCTGAAGTCACAGACACTGCAGCAGAAATGCTGTATCACCCAGCTCCATCCTAATTCACTTCACCCCAGGAGTTACACTGATAAAGCTCCCATGTGGTTCTACAGAATGAGAAAAATTGTTCTCAGCTATACTAGAAAAAATAAATTAGTAATTGTATTGATCAAACCTTAACTGCTTCTCAAGTTTTGCCCAGGAATCTGCTAATCCCTGTCACTATTGCCTTTCATGGTGAGGGACACTCAGGAGTACCACTGAAACAGATGGGTTTTAAGAACGGCCGAACAACAACATTAAAACAACATTAAAACAAAGCATGTTTAAAATCCTCATACCAGGTGCAACAAGAGGCTAACGTTCCTTTTAAAAACAGAACTGTGACAGAGTTAAGTATTCTGAGGATTAATTTCAAGAGTTAGTTTTCAAGATACTAAAACTTATCAGGATTATTATTTCTTTACTTTGCAAAAGCAAAATACAGTAACACCATGCACCTAGCTCAATTAACTGATAAAATACCATTGCTCAGTAATGAAAAAGAATTGAAGCCTTATGTTCAGTAGCACAAGAAAAACATAAACTATATATTCCCACGTGCCAGAAACTCTTACAGAAGAATCACTGTCTGCACTTTATTTAGTCTGAAGTTATAACCATAAACTAGCTCAGTTTTACTTTTTTTGCTTTTTTAGAAAGCAGAAACTAGTCTGTTTTTTTATAGTTAAAAATGTCAGTATGTAACCTCACAAGACTTAAAGTACCTTTGTCTTCCTGTAAATGTTTTTAAGATGATAAACACTACACCTAGAATAGCTACACATTGCTATTCAAAATTATTGAAAGTTAATAAGTTTGAGATTTAAATGACTCACCGGCATCTTTAATCCATTCATCATACAGTAGTACAGCCTTTGATGTCAGATTGCTAAAGGCCATTTTCACTTGATTAAAATTTTATGACGCTGCCTGCAGGAAAACAAAACAAAACAGAAATATGGATTTTTGTAATTAATCAAATAAAGGTCAGTAAAGCATTTTAGAAAATATTTTCATGAAACAGAATGGTAAAATACAGAAACAGCTAACAAGGACCACATGTGAAATACAGATGGGGAAGCATTAACTGACCACACCACACTATGCCTGATGCTAATTTATAGCTGAGCTGTTATGCTCAACAATATGATTTTGTAATCTCTACATACCAAACTAGGTGCCTTTATGCCATAAACTGTTATCTCAAGAAACCATACTGTGGTTAACCGTTACAGTTAAGGGGAAAATAGAAATAAAGAGCAGCTGCTTAAATTCATTTTTATTGCCATCTCCACCTAAAGCCCAAGTCACTGATATGTGAGGAAGTTCAGCTTTGCAACATTTACTCCAAAAAACTTTTAATTTTCTAACTGAGAAGTATTTCTAAGGTAGGTAGGAAGGAGGAAAGGTGCCGATACGTCTGTATACTCCTTTTAAACACAATAATTAGCTATGTTATAATTAGTATGCAAATCACACTCTGATGAATCAACTGTTTCCACATCAGGATCATGAAGCGTCATAGTACCACCAGTAATACCATTAATTCAAAAAAAATTATCCAGCACATCCAGTTTGCAGGCAGCACCACCCACATATGTAAAACTCTTCAAAGAAGTATGCTTATATGAATACTGAGTTTTGCTTCAAAATCAAGTACTCATCAGCCCTTCCCTTGCCTCCTTTCCCCCAAGAAAATACTTTTTAAAAAATCCCAACATATTTGAAGGGTGCCTCTCCCGATCCCACTCAGTGTCTCACTTTGCCATGCGATTTCTCTCCACACCCCTGTGCAATCTTCATGCTGTGTTCACCTTTGTTAGTCCAGGCTGCAGGGAACCTTGATAACTGCCTCCTCTCCTCTGGCTGCCCTTCTGTGTCTGCTCCAGGCCGCAGGTTTGAAGAGCTAGTTCTGCCAGCATGATGGTAATGCATCTTTCTCCTCAGACTTCCCCCACTATCATCTTCCCATTTGCCCTCACCTTAACTCTCCTGCAAAATAATTTCACCCTTATTGCCACTTCTACCAGTACCTCCTGTTCAATGCCATTTCGCAGGAGTTTTTAGGCACCTCAAAGTATGCTACAAACACCCTTTGTTGCGAGATGCAACACAGACAAGCCTGCCTCCAGAGTTCATCTCATCTACATCTTCCCAGTTATTTTGCTACCCACTTGTTTTCTTGCTTGCACTTCTGTCCTGTGTGTCTATACATGTGAAACCACCATAAATTTCTTGTTCAGAGAACATTCCCTCTGCAAGTCTCTCTAAAGTTCATGTTTTCTAGAAATACCATTCTCCAGCATCAGCATTTCCCAGTGCAATGTCACTGCCTTAATGCTGACCATTTTCATATGCTTTATGTTCATATTTCAACGTTTGCTACAAAGCTCTATGTTTATAAAGGTGCTGACAAAATCTGGTGAAGCAGAGGACATCCTCTTCCTTGTCTAATGGAAACTTGAGTGGCCCTTTTCCTTTTGGCAACAGCAATCACACAAGAGAAAAGGACTTTAAGGTCAGAGAAAAATTATAAATAACCCTGCCATTTTGCTTCATGAGATAAACCATGGATGATATCAAGCATTTTAGACCCAACCCTGTCTTGAACACCAGATATCTCAGATTGTCTGACTATGTCAACCAGGCAACTCAGCTGTAAGTAACTGGTGCCGGAGGGAAGTGCTAAAAATCCGTATTTTATAAATATTTATTTTATTAAAATAGATTAATTACAATAAGTTATTGTTAAAATCCAGCATTCTGCCCATTTCAGTCTCATGACAGTCTATCAAGAGGCAACTCATGGCAAATATATCACGTTCAGCAGCTATAGTAATATTCTACCAAAGCCTACAGACACCTTGTGCACAGTACAGTTAAGTATTTCAATAAAAATATAGTCACTGAATACAAATAATCAGAATACATTTAATCAGCAATTCAACAAGAAAAACAGTTTGCTGATTTCATTGCCACTCAGTCTTTCTGCTCTCAAGCTAATGAAGATGTTACTGGAACTCAGACTGGCTAGCTCAACATGCTATCCAAAACCTACGTTAACAGGTAAACTACTGCTTCAAAACACGCTCTCAAAAATCCAGAGAATTCTGGCCTGGATGCTGGCTCAAAATGAATTATCATTAATTACAGGTTTGAGGGTGTTGATTGACTTTTCCTCCCTCATACGGCGCAAAGCTCTCATCCTGACAACTGCATCCTCACAAATACAGAATTCTTTACATTCATCCACTAGACTAGTCGACACCGCATTCATTTTGCATGAGGAGTCCGACAAACACGCCATCAGTGTTTAAATAGCAGCCTTTACATCTGGTAGGCACTGGACCAAAAGCAAGCTCTTCATCTGGAACCAGGCTCTATTTCCGACAGACCACTTCTGCTCACAGTAGAAAGGCAGCAGATGACAAGAACCAATCCTCACCTTTCCCAGCCCCTGCCATACTGATGGAGGGGCATTTGTCCCACCTCTCCTGACCCCAGCACTTGAAGCTCTTCTGCCTTTAAAACATTTCACGAGAGCTAAGACAGTCGAGGCTTGTGGCCCACAAGGGTTCTTTTCTGTTCACAACCCAGCAAGCAGGATACAACTCCACAGCAGCTGCTAAACTTTTTCTGAAAGTTTTTGCAGTTTAGTTACTGTCCTTGAGAGAAGGATGTACCAGCCAGATAGCACACAGACGTACCAACTGGCCGTTTATTCTGAATCTAATGGTACGTACAGTAAAATAAGTTAAAGCTGAATACTCTAAGGGCAGTTATTGTCATAACTAGCTACCTAGTTTTCCTTTGGAAGTCCTTTTCTATGAACAATTGTTCGCATTAATGTTAGATTTTCAGGTCTCTGTTTGTTAACTACCTACAAGTAGGGTTAATTGACTTATCCTATTACTTCACACACAAATTCATACGTACAGGAAAATAGTATGATCAAGGCTTGCTTTTTTAAAAAAAAAAAAATGGAAGGGTAAAAAAACCTCATGTACCCATAACACAAGATAAACAACTAGCTTGTGCTTCAGCAAAAAAGCAAAATATTATTGAAAGGCTACTTTTTTTACAGTACGGCTGTGTTGTTGAGAAGTAACCTGATAAAGCTTTGACCCTAATACAATCTCCGTAACACTTGGTAGTTTTTAAGTCTACAGAACTTATCCTCTAAATGTGAGACTGGAAATATTTGGCCTGAAGGGACAAAGGCTTGGGGGCAGAGAAGGCCATTTGTTAAATCCACAGCTTTAGCTCTTCATGCTGTAAACTCATCTGCACATTAAGCATTTGCACAGCCACAGTTCAATCAGGAAATTAGACATTTAGTCTACATACCTGCTAATACCATACTTACAGTATCAGAACATTGGCATTTCCACTTTCTGCTTCTAACAAAATTAAAAAATGCAACTTAAATGCACTAACAGTAGGGAATTGTCTTTTTTAAAATAGAGTTTCTAGACTGTAGCAACCTCTCAAAATTAGGGAAGTGACATTAGCAAGCAAATTTTCAAAACTGGGTTATTTTAAATGACATATTAGAAGCAATTTACATTCATTTTAAAAAATGAAGTCATTTAAGTTCAGTCTGCCCAGCTTGAAAAGTTCTAAAGACGACACAGGTGGTCCTCTGAAGCACACACATTTGGAAAAACAAGCACTGAAATCACCTCAAAAACATATGCAAGGTACTCAGCTTTTAGAAAGAAATAAGCACTACTTTTCTTCTTCTCTTTATACTTAAAAATGTCAGTGGAAGCGTTATTGCGCACCTAGGTTCAAGCCAGCTGTGATAATATAATTTCTGAAGGTACTTTTAAACAAGTGTGTCTTCACCATTATAATAATAGGGGGTGTAAGTAAAGGCAAATGGGGAAAGGGCTGTGCTAAAAGAGCAAAGTCATTTGCTGGCCTCTGCTTCCCTGCAGCTCAGCAGACAGAGCCCACTAACTGCAGCTGAGTTAAGGCATATGGGTTGGGAGAACCCATTTCAAATTGGACCATTACCTTTACTGGAGAGGTAAGCATAGATGAGAAGATAATTTTCACCAGCCAAAAATGCCACAAATACCACAGCAAACCATATGAGAATGCCTCACCATGACGAGTGGCAGGTAATAAGTTGTTGGAAGTGCTCAAGTTCTGTTAGCACATGAAACTATCAGTGATTCTTGCAATGGGAATTACTGGTATGCCTCGAACATTCCTCATTTTTAAATGAGAGCAAGAAGTTTCTCACATTCCTTTGCTTAACCCACATGAAAGATATTTGCCATTCTTGGTGCTTATTTATTCCCCCTACATAGTTTTTAAATATTAAAACAAATATCAACATTTGCTTTTAAACAGTACTTTTACAGCAAGTGTTTTATGTTGATGGCTACTGAACCAAACAAGTGCACAAAAGAACTTGACAGAAAACCAAGCAAAATGAAAAAATCCAATGCAAGCTCTGTCAGTCCAGAAAACAAGCCGTAGAAGTCAGTGGGAACTTGAAACACTTTAAAGCTAATTATTAGAAAGACAGACAAGTTACTTTTACAGGGACCTCTTAGCATAAGACTGAAGAATATGATGATACAGTACAAACTTCAACAGGGTATCTTCCACCCAAGGCAGGTCTGTGGCGGTGTGCTCTCCCTGGTTTGCCCCCCCCTCCCTCTCTGCTCCTGCCCGGCCTTGGCCACCACGGCCATCACAACAGCAGCTGTGATAACTTGTACCCAGTCTCTGGGGGATGGCTGGCAGCATAGTCAAAATACTGTCTGGAGAGGGGACCTAGAAATTTTGTTGCCATGAAAATATGACTATAGGTCAATTATCTTACTGTATAAACAGTGGACAGCCCAAGAGCCCTTTGAGCTCTCCTGTATGGCAGCGGGCTGCACGCCAGGATCTCCCCTTTGGTGAGGATGCTCACTGAAGGTTCTACTCCTCGAGGTTGAGAGATTCCTTGCCGTGACAAATTCCCGGTTCTCCTCCTTGAGGTTGAGGGAATCCTTGCCGCAACAGAGTTTCAGTAACTGACTAATAGCATGCTAAGCTTTGAAATTT